TTATTTTTAGAAAAACTAAACCACTTCATTTATTATACTCATTCCAACTTCCAAAAAATTAAATGTTTTCTGTGCGATGGTGAAATTCCCTTCTGTTGACTTGGCAAAGAAAGGGTACTTCAGGCAGATTTTGTACATCTGCTGCATCAGGAAAAATACCTGCTCAAAATTTTCAAGTTTCCCAGCACATAACTCCATAAAGTAATTCAGCATCTAAATAACATGCAAGTTTTACAATATTGTAATTTTGTTTGGTTTGCTTTTCATGCAAAGATACAGTCCATTTATTATGTCGGTGCACTGCAATGGCAGCTTAACCCTGCCACTCAGTGATGAAAGTGCCAGATAGAGCTAAATATTCTGAGAAATTACACATTATTTTCTCTACCTTCATTATCTGAAATGGCAAAATGAGGGCAGAAAGGCATTAAGTTTAGAGAAACATCTCCTTAGCACTTCAGCAGACAAACACCAGGCAAGCAATTTACATAAGTGGGAAAACAGCTACTAACTCTGATAACGTCCTTGGTATGTTTTCAGAAGATTGCTTTGTTCCATAGGTTAAGTATTTTGAACGTCACTGCCTAGAATAGTATAGCGCCAGGCTTACACAAAGCAACTCATATGGCATTTCTCTTCACAAAACAAGCAGCTGTCAAAAATTAGTCATTTTTAAACTAACACCAACAGCATGTGCCCGACTCTAACCCCATTTACTACATTTATTCTCTACCACAGCATCCTTTATTGCACTTCTGTTTTCATATTGCCAAATAAAGCTCTGTGCTACCTCAGTGCAGCCAACTTTCTCTAGGTTGTCTGTGGAACCTTAAGCATTTCAAAGTAGTTTAAAATTATTACCCTCAACTCTTTTTACTCCCTACAAGTGCCCTGTTGCTTCTTGGAGCATATTTCCTTTGTGACAGAGCACAGAGATTATACTCTGTGCTCTATGTTTCACATTTCCTGAATTTTTTTTTTTTTCAGTGAGTTTTGGGTTTGTTTTCTTTTAAGAGATGTTAGATTTTAGATGGAAAGGAAGGGTAATGGAGGTCTCTGAATTCCTTTTTTTAACCTTCTGAAGGCCACTGATGCAAAGCTAGAGAGTGCCACCGCGTGGCTAGAGGCTCTCGTGGCTGGCAAAAGTTGCAGCTTGTTCCTGCAAAAAAAATCGTTAAAATTGAATGGATTAGGCCCTGAAAAAACCAACAACATAACGCAGGCTTATCTTCTGGGAGGAAGGTGCAAAAAACAGGGACATGAGAAAGCAGTGGAGATCTTACTGTAGTAAAAAGGAGTCTAATGGACACCCAACAACCTATGTGCCAGTTTCTACTCAAGAAGATGGTATTTTATGCAGAGATGCTTAATGCAAGCCTTTCAGAGCATGGGTGATGGAGCCCAGCCTTCCTTTCTTACAAAGTGAATTCCTTAGCCAAGAGAGGACCGGGCTGTGCTCCCTTTTACACATACTCAGAAAGCATGCAGAGTTCGGCATGTCTTTTCACCTAACCGGGATAGAGCAAGAGGACAGGCTCCTTGCCTACTGAGAAGGATACTCTGTATTTTCCTCTTCAGAAATGTTAGCTTTTACAGGCTGAGGAAATCATGGGGACTGGGGTCACTCCTTTCTAGTAATTCAGTATTCCATACCACAACAGCATCACTACCCTTTGTTTCTTTATAATCCCATTTAAAAAGAATGAAGTGGTGACACTAATGTACATCATCCCAGAAGAGAAACCAGCACAAATCTGGCTCTATATCTGACAGGGTTCTAGATATGTAGCTGCTCACAAGTACCAGTTCATGCATGCCTGGAAGAACCTTGTTATTTCAAATCAAGCAGAAATACCTACAGTGTGCAAGTGCCTGTAGAGCTGTTAACAGCTCAGCAGGGCTTTTTTCGCTCATTAAGAGTATCAAACTTTGCTGCTGACTAACTATATAATTAGTTCTGGGTAGACGCCCTCTGAATCTACATCTGCTTCCTATATCCTTCCCTGCTCCTTCCCCCATCCAATTATTAAATACCTCATCCTTGAGAGTCCTTTCTTCTCTTTCTTTTTCTAACAGACTCTGCAGAGATATGCCTTTTACACCCTATCTAGGAGGCATCTAGACTCCATGCTGTTCTGCCTTTTCACTTCATTAAGTTAGAAGAATGTTGCACCAGTTATCCTTTACATAACAGCTATGGGAAAACAGTTTCTTACCACAAATAATCAGACTTCCATTTATAGAGATTTGTACAAGAATATATAGCAAGTAAGATTCATCTTACCCACCTATAGACTTCTACACTGTGGACAGTTGATAATTCTCTGATGCTAAAGAGAATAGGGCTATCTAACAGCTGTCCTCTGAAGGAAAGATTAATCCTACCACTCTTGATCAAAGCAATCTACTTCACAGTGAAATCCTTTAGCCCATATTGAGTTCCATTCAGAATTTGTAAATTCAAACTTTGCTGTTCAAGTGCATTGCATTTATCATCAAAGAATTGTAAAATGATGTTGCGCTTCCTGGAGAAAAATATGTATTTAAAGGTCTAACAGGTTTTGAAGCAGTTTTCAAAAACCTAAAATTCCATTTATGTAGTTGATAGAAATTCAGTTCTTTGAAATCCTGTGCCTATGACTCACTTTAACTGCACTGAATAGAAAAACATACAATTCCTGTGTCATCAGAGCAAGGAAAGAATTCAGGTATTACCTTTTCAAAAGTCATATACATTTTTGTATGCCATTCAATTGGCTTGAAGGGAATGGACAAGAAATTCAGTATGCTATACACTGCTCAAGCACAAATTAACATTAAAGGATAAATTAATAATAAAGAATTGGAGTGCTATGAAAGAAAAAACACTGTGGAATCAAGGCAACAAGATGAAGTAGCAACGCAAAAATGAAGATGGGTCTTATCAGCAGAACAGAATTCTAGATTAGAAACTGCAGCTTTCCTTCCCAGAATACAAAGAGACTGCCTGTGATTACAGCAATCACAGCCAGAGAGAGGTTATAAATTTATCTCTAGTTTAAAAGCCAAATGAAATGGAAACTAGACTGCCAAGTACTGAAAAGAAAGTTAATGAACTGAGAGCAACATCCACAATTTTCCTAGATCTGCAGAAATTCTGTTGAGTTTTCAGTCAAGGCAAGGAAGAGAAAATGGGGCAATCCGTTTCCCATGCTTAGTAGGAGAATATGACACTCTGAGTATTCAATGTAAGTTCCTAAGACACTGAAACAGTAAAATTTTCAACCTAATGCTTAGTTCCAGTCCAATTGTGAGTGTCAAAAAAATTTGTGGGCAGAATTGCTTGGAGCAGTATATGCATTTCTACAATCAAGACAAAGGTCTGAGTTACTAAAGTAAAACTTTTTTATTTATTAAAAACAAAGTGCAGAGACATATTTAATAATCCCACATAATTACGAGGCAAAGCACTATCATGTTTATTATTTTTAGCCATCTAATCCTCACCATGAAGCTGAAAACAGAGGAGCAGGTAAGCTCTTTATAGTGATAAAACAAACAAAAAAATGTTCACTGAGCAGGGAGCCTTCTTGAAATAGCAAATAAAAATTGTTTAAGCTCAAAAGTATAGTTCTGAAGCACGACTTCACTTTTTGAACCTCTTAGCCAAGTGCCAGACTGTGAAGAGTTGCCTTGCCTACCTAAGAAGTCAAAGCTTCTCTTCAAGGTAATTGACAGGTAACAGCTATCATCAGAGTAGCAACTATCTGTTATATAGACTACTGTTTACAGCACTCACTGAGGAAGAAGACGCACTTCCCCCTCCCTGGAGAGTATCCCAAATGTCAGTCTATTTCAATTAGATATCCTATCTCCCCACAGGGAAGAAATAAAACATAAAAAAATAATGAAGCATTCACAAAGTCAAAAAGATACCAAAAGTTAGATTCCTGAATGCATATGGAAAGCACTCGGAGTGTGCTGGGAATGACAGATTTTAAGAAAAGAAAGGTTTTTAGACAAAGGAACAAAAGCAAGGTTACATTGCTACGTAGATGGGGGGGGGGTTGGTAGTTTGTTTTTTGCACCTTTCCCCTGGTTTGACAGTATAAGCAAATGAAGTACATGTAACCAACGATCCCTAGCTGGTTTCTGAGAGTGTGTGCATCTTCCAAAGACACTTCCATAATTCAATTCCTTGTAATGTCTCTAAAAAAAATAGTGGTTTCTATATGAAGGTCTTACAAGAAATGAAAAGGCGTCATATTGAAACATACCTGAGTATTTAATTGCAAGATATCAGACCTCAAGACATAGACATTTCTCCTCAAAATATACAGCATGATCTAGTAGGTCATTTCAACCATAGCTTTGGTATGAAAGTGTTTTGAGGCACAAAGGCTTAAAACTAAAAATGAACAATCTAAAATTTTTTCAACTGTAGTATATTTTTTCTGAACAAAATGTAGTTATATGTAAGATGATCCAAAATGAAATAAATCATTGCAGACAATACTGACAGCTCTGAAAAGGGTCAGCTGAGAAAACAGGGAAAGGGGCCCTTCACATTACCATTGATAACCACAAAACTGCAACTGATATATCACTAGAGATTTCAGTTCTGGTTATGACTCCGGTTAGTTATGACAACATGTGCATAACTATATTCAGGAATTAGAAGGCAAATCTTAAGTAGTGCCTGTAAGTACCGCAATAGATGAATTTGATAGGAAGTGAGGGGTGATGTCAGGGAAACCGGTCCAAACCAGTTCTCAAACACCCCACCTAACATGCTTGCTCATATGTATTTACTTGATGTCATTAAAATAATAGAGCTAGGCCATACAAAGAAAGCCATAATTCATATGGAGTGTTTTTTTCTCTGTAACACTTTATTAAATACTTTTCATTGCATCTACGCATTGATAATTTTCTGGTATGCAGCTAGGCAGAAACAGAGCAAAGAAAAGCTTTTTTAAATAAGACCATTGAATCTTTGAATAAGACCAACCAAATCACAGCCTGATCCTCAAACAAGTCCAACATGGCATATCTTGAAGACAATGAAATATAGTTTACTGTCATATAAACTGGTAATTTAGTCTGTGATGCTGAACTCTGTCTTACAGAACTTGCATAATGAGACACTGAATGCATTCTGCATTCTCCTACAAAGCCAGTGCAATATTTCTCTAGGTACTTCTGTAGTTGTAAGATGCTCATGAGTTCTTATAATACTGATCAGGAGCTAGATTTATTCTCCTAACATTCAGCTCTGTTGCAAAGGTTCTTGCCTTTTGATAGAAGAAGAGAGACTTTTCCCGATCCACAAGGAAGTTATGGTAGATTATTGCAAGTCTTGTGTAAATCTTCAGTTGAGCTTTCTTATTGCCTAGGTCCATGGCAGCAGCAAGTGCCAAATGGTAATAGCCTGCTGCATCAAAAGGGTCCTGAAATGAGACACAAAGATATTACTTTCTATAGCACAACCAGTGCAAGAGGACATCCAAGCTCATTTTACTAGGTATCAAACAAGAATAACAGACTCCAAAACTTCAGTAGGTTTTCCCGTGTTATTACTTACATTCTAAATGCATAGAAATGGATTGTGGTAAAACCTGGTGTTATGAAACGTGACTCAAAGTAAACATTTTCTGCAGCAGTTTTTAATATTTCTTACCTTAAGTTCATAGAATATAATGTCTCCTAAGACCAAGTACACCTTCATGTAATACAGTGTTTCCTCCTCAAACTCCAGAGGAGAGGAACAGAGGGACAAGGCCTTTAAATAGAAGTGTTCAGCTAGTTCACAGTGACCCAAATGATGATGGATTGCAGCCAGCCGATGATAAGCTATTCGCTCATTTAGCTGATTCCCTAATGAGATAATGTATAAGTCAGGATAAAACCAAAGAGACAAAATAGTCAAATCATCTCAAATCAGAATACGTCTATGCTATTTTTTGTTTTATTTCTAGATGGCATTTGCTGAACTTTTATTTGCTCAAGAGATACATGGCCAAAACCCACCCTTTAAGAGGAAACCTACATAATCCCCAAATTTCCTGCCGTAGGATTTAAAAGTGTCTGATATTTTCTTAACAAATCACTACATTAATCTCATGCTTAGATATATACAACCTATGCATGAATACAAAAGTAATGAAAGCAAATTAATGGGATTAAAGACTCCTTTGCACCTCCCAGTCCATAAATTACATGAAAAATTATGGCAAAAGATGATTCTCAGACTGATCCACTAGTATGCGCTTGCAGGGAACAAAGCTTGAATTGAACAGCTCTCAGAGTTTAAGAGCAGTAATTTTTGAAACTAGCCCTAGACACTCAAAAACCTTTTGAAGATTACATTATTCATCAGTATTACATCTTAGCTGTTAGAAGCAACATTCAGATTAGATCTAGAATCCCAGATTTAGTTCTGTGCTCTACCAAATATTTTCCATAGAACTTGGAGTTAAAAGAGGCAGTGGGAGCATTGTTCGTTCTTGAATAGAGGCAAAAATAGCAATGATAGTATTGTTACGAAATCCTGGCAAGAAATCAGACTGAATGCAGAGGAAGAAAACAGTTTTGAGTTCTGTTGTATTTTAGAGGTACCAGTCACAGTCATCTATAATTTAAATTGCTCTTACCTAGATTTACACTGAGCACGAGAGATGCTTTGGCGTATTCCAGACTTTCCTCATAAGCCTTCAGATTCACCAACAGTTCCACCAGTTTATTGTATAATCTGAGTTCGGTGGTTTTGTTGCCAGTCTGAACAGCAAGTGGAAGAGCCCTGTCCTGAAACATGTAACAGCAACTTTGGTACAGCTGAAGCAAAAGATGTGCGCTAACAGACTTCCATTTATGTCAAGCAACTTCTGGTTTCATTTTGATCTTTGCTTATAACATATCCTACACTCAGAAAAGGAGTTGAAGTAGGTGGTATCTCTTAACACCATGGCAAAGTGCTCAGCTGCAGTAGGTTAGGAATGGTTTGCTGAGAGGATCAGCTTTTGGTTCAGCACTGGTAGAACATCAGCTGTGACAGCAGGGTACATAACTGTCAATGCAGTAGAAAAACTGCACAAACCTTATAGAAAGTCACTGCTTTCTCCTTGTCCCAGGTACCATTGAAAAATATGTCTCCAGCAGCTTCAAACAGTTCCATTCCCAAATTTGGATCTCCTGTGTAAAGAGCAGCATCCTGAGCAACCTGAAAAGAAACCAGGGGGTGAGGAAGATAAGGAAATAAATCTTGGTTACTTCCTGATTAAAAGAAATCATAAATACTAGCAATTGAAAAAGATCTTGTTAAGGCCTCTCTTCTCATTGTCAGACAGGAAAGGCTGTATTTAGTGAGACAGTGCTCTTTTTCAGTACCCTGCTTTTGAGCAGGCCAGTGGCAGCTGCTGGGGAAGGAACATAAGAACCTGGGCACATATAGTGTTATGGTCTCGATTTTTCAGGCAATATTATCCTGCTACCTTAGTCAGCATGTGACACTAAAATAGTGTATTTGACAGCTGCCACATGTTAAATTTGAATTAGATGCAATTAGAATTCATTTCTATGATAAATTGTAAGTTAGATATTGCTAACAGTGCAGATTTAAAAGCCTGTGACATAAATTCTGTAAATAAATGTAGTGCCACTATTCTGCTCTGAAATAAATGTATGCCATGTTAGCAAAAAGAATTTCATGAAAGGCTGCATGCATCTACCTCAAAGCAAGAATGTCAGGATAGTCAGCTATAGGATAATGAGAAATAATATAATGCTAACAAGAAAGGGGACTTTTACATGCAGAAAGATTAAAAATCTTGCTTTGGTGATCCTTGGTTTTCAAATTATATTCAATTAAAACAAGTCCAGGTCTAGCTAAGCACAAAGGCATTGACCCTTTTCCACCTATTCTGGATTCAGGCATCTAAGGACTCTATTGCATCATATTGCAGAAGTTGTGTTTTACAAGGAAATTAAGATGTGATGGCCTGGGCAAAGTACTGGCCCAGCAGTCAACATTTTAGAGGGCTGATTCCTGCTTTGAGACTTTCCTCATGGACAGGCATTGACTCTCTGCTCTAAATACCAGGTACCACATTTGCACAGTATAGAATACACATGCCTGTCCCTGGCCTACTCATCCTTTGAGGAAATAAAGCAGATGGAGAAAAATCATCCCACATGCTGCTTTGGATTTTGTACTACCAAGTGACTGCCTTGAGGGCTATCAGCTAAAGTTATTTATTAAAAGAAATGACAGGCTTATAGCACAGTCCCTTCTTGTAAACACATGTATTCAGTTTTCCTGGTAACTATTAAATGTAGCTTAATTGAGAGGAAAAAACCCCATGAAGTGGTCCCATGTATTGTGTCTCAGTCCATTTTAAACAGGAATTTGTTTCCTATGTTTCCCTGCTTTGTAGACCTATTTTTTAAAACATCTTAACAGGTGTCTGATTATTTTATTTAGGCATCATGTTTTGGTACTACTGGTACACCAGCCAAGACTCAGATATCACTGTATCGGATTCTGTATACATCCTGCACTACAAGGCAGATGGGAGAGAAGTATTTTTAACTCCTTTAGAACAGCAAGAACCTAATTCCCCAAATACTTCAGTGAATGGCAAGGAGCTACGTGGACAACAGTCAGATCCAGGTGGCAGTGCCACTCTGAGAAAGGCCCTAGATCATCCAGTTTCAGCAGCCACAAGGGTTAGATCCCACTTTCAGGTCACCTTTCAGACTGTGCTAGCACAGCAGTAGCAGCTGCAGCAAGTCCCAGTTGGTGGTGGTGGAGTGGGAGGCCGAGGTGTGCAAGCCACATGCCTCTATTCTCACTGTGCCAAAGGCAGCAGCAGCTCTAGCTGGCTCTATGCCATGCTGTGCACAGCCATAGAAGGAAAGCTTTAGGTGTTTTGGAAATGCTTCCTGAAGAAGATACTCTCTTTTCCTGAGGGCCTTTCCCACAAACTGACATGCTAAGACGATTATTATTTATTACCCACCAGCATGCAGCATGCATGGTTTGATTGCTGTGGTACTACAGAGCTGGTAAAGATGATGCAATACACAGAACTGACAACAAAGCAGGCACTAAGAAAGGTTGCTGCCCAAAAACATCTTTCCAGAGTGAAGAAACAGGTCAAAATAGAGCACCAACAGAAAAAGCATTTTCTGCTGCTGAGCATTACATAGATGTCATTACTATGTCATGTTCAGATCATCAGTTAGCAAAATCTCTGAGATCTTTATATTGAATTACTCTCTTACCATACCACTTGCACCATGCTGACAAGATGTGCTTGCCTCTTAAGTGTTGACAACATACCTGAATGTAAAGATCCACAAGCTCATTCTGCCTCAGAACATAATATATCTTTCCTGCCCGTAGCCAAGCATGTGCCTCTTTCTCTTTTTTCTGCAGATCTATAAATATTCCAAGGCTTCTTTTGGTATATTCCAGAGCTGACCTGTAAGCCCTGAAAGAGGGAAAACTGCTAATTACTGAGGGGCTCTTCAAATTAGCAAATGGGTTTCTTCATAGTGAGAAAAGCTTTATGTTAAAGACAAGCTGTTTCCCCTATTCAAAGCAAAATTATAATTTTATATATATATTACACTAGTAACTAGCAAGTTGAGTCTCTTTCCCTTTCCTTTTTTTTTGTTCCAGTTATGTTGCCTGCTAGATTGTTATCACGTTATGTTATTTCAGGATGGCCTCATCTAGATGCATCCTTTCCCTGCCCCAGGCTAACGACAGGTGGGAAAAATCCTTCTTCATCTTTAGCTCTTCTATAATTTAAGGACTTTTCCTGAAAACTTAAGAATGGAATTGCAGCTGTAAATATTTTTTACTAAAAACACCTAGGCTCTGACTTAAGCACAGTTCAGACTAATCGGCAATTGCAGAAAAACTTGGACCAGTTTTAGAAGCACCTAAATTATCAGATCACTGGACAGTGCAATTTTCAAGAGTAAGGACACTGTGCCCTCAGAAAGTAGTCATGCTCCTTATTGGGAAGACTTATCAAATTAATTGAGCTTATGGTGCTTTATACCAAACCTAGAAATCCCAGAATTATTAAATCCTTCTGTCTTGTGTTAGATTCCCATCACCTTGACATGATGCATTTTCCTTCAAGCAAAATATATTAAAATATAACATGAACTGCACAGCTACAGTGAATCCTTACAGAGTGTATCTTTAGAACAGCATACTTAGATCTCCAAAGAGGTCAGAAACAGATCTGGAAGTAACACACTCCCTTGTACTTCATACTATCAAGATTTCAGTTCTGTCTCAACAAGGTACCTCATCTGAGGGGAGTGGAAGGGAAGTTTTTACCACGTTCTGATTCTTACAGAAATTGACTGGTCACTCCCTTTACACTCAACAGAAAGTGAAGTTCAACTGAACAAGCCTGGCCTTCCAGTCTTTGCTAACAAGCTACAAAGATGAGGAAAGGCGAGGTACTTGAACGAGTCCAACTCAGCCCAATTACTGAATGCTACTTCTATCTCCAATTCAGAGGTTTTGCTTTTACAGCACACAGAAGCATATACCAGCCCGTTACCCAGCACAGCAGCTGGAACAGGTCAGGCTGTTTCCCCTGGCATGACCACAGTAGTTTACAATAAAGGTGGTGACACCACAGACATCACTGTTTTCATTACTTCATCCTAAACACATATCCTTGTTACTCAGAGCTGTTAACTCAAAGAATACCATGAAACTATGGGCTACTGTAACCTTATCTACTAAGGTTATACAGCCAACATCTGGGAGCCAGGCTTCTGGGCTATATAAATCCCATGTACTACATGCACACAAAGGAGCAGCTTCTCCAGCTAGTGAAAGCCTTCTACAAATTCCAGGTAGCTTGAAATCATAGCCACCTCCTTTGTCTTCAGCCTCTCCAAAAGATGTTAACCAACTATACCATTAAACAGCAGTTAAAGTAAAATAAATTAGGTGATATACTAGAAAAGTTAGTGGCTTGAACTGTAGCCACTTAAAGCTAAAATAAGTATCTATTCTTTCCACAGATGAGGATATTTTTTCCACTCTGAGGCATGCTTGAAAATACCTGAATCTAGAGTGACTCCCTAAAGCGAGATACAGTAAGGAAAAATATCAAAGCTGTCTTAAACACTCAAAAAATGTCTAAAGAAACCTGTACATTTCCCCAGCACCTGTTAGTTATTATAACTAGACTTGTGTAGTCCATTTTCCATTAATCAAAGTAAAAAAAATTGGTATTCTGAAAACAAGAGCAGTATAGGGATTTCTGGAGACTGACACAATGCAGTTTTACATATAGGCTTTGTACTGCTTTAAGTTTTGAAAAAAACAATTTCCTCAAAGAAACAGAAATGCACAATGTGATGTGTGACCTGTTTGGAATATGTCATTTGGTTTCTAGTGGAAAAAGTGTTTTGTAAAAATCTATCATTGTGAACAAGTCACCTGCCAGCAATAACCCTAGAGCTATAGCAGCCATCAAGAGTTGCATGATATACGATACCTTTTAAAGGTATTTACACAGATTTTAGAAATTATTTGGTTTGCAAAGTGGTGCTAATCCCTACTGAATATCTTGTCTCCTCTGAGAGATCATAGCTACTTAAGAAAACCCAACAAAACAGAAAACAAACCGACCACAATAAAAGTTTCTGCTACCACTGGACCCTGCAATTCCAATAATGCATATTGTCAAAGCAGAGAAAAATAGTCACATTCAGCTATCGCGCAAACTGAGATCCTTTAGCATGACAGAAAAGTTACAATCAGAATAAAAGCAAAGTCATTCAGCACATCTTACCTTTCTGTTCCTAAAGACAAATAGAGCTGACTAATGGTTTCCAAAATTTGTCCCTCCAGAGCTTTGTTGGACATCTTCCTGGCTAAAGATAGCTGATATTCATTGTAGATGACACACTGAGCCTCATTGGGAACAACTGTGCTGTAGAACTGACACAGCAGTTTAATTGCTTGTAGTTGACCTATGAGGTTAGAAATACTAACATGAATCTCTATTTTAAAATTAATGTTAAATTAGTTTTAACATAATTTATTCTTATCTTTCCACAAATCACATCACAGTCAATGAATAACAATATAAAAGTCATAATAAGAAGATTCCACTGCCAGTTTCTTCTTTCCCAAAGATAACAAAGACTAGAAGTTACTTCAAACCTGATCTCAAAAATAATGAAACACTCAATTGTATAAACTGCCTTAGTCACAATATTGAGAGTAAATAAATAAAGCATGGGTCCTCTAAATACAATTATTTCATGCAAAAGTAATCCAGATTACTAGTTGTTTTCATCCCTTAAAACTCAAGTCTAGTGCTGTTTACACTACCAACAGTAGAACCATTGTAAATATTATTGAACATAGAAAGCCCTAGACCTTTTACTGATTAAGTTATTTAGGTTTTCCTTAACATTTTATTTTCTCTATAATTTCTGACAAAAGTACCACCAGAAAAGAAGCCAACACTTATTTATTTCTCCACCATTATGGGACAGAGTAAAGATTTAAATCATTTTGATAGCTGTCATGTAACTGGGCATAAAAATGTTGCTTAAGGAACAACTAAAACATACCTATATAACAAACACCCCCAAAGAAGGCACATTACATACCTGAAAGACAAAAAATATACTTACTTTCCAGATGGCTTGTCTCCATTGCAACTAGAAACGCCCATTCATAGTAAAACCTGCTTTTTTCTCTTTGAGTTCCACCAACATAGTAACATCCCAGCTGAAGGAGGACTTGAATAAACTCTTGGCTGTAGTCCATACTTGGAAGCTTGGAGAACAATTTCACTGCCCTGATATAATAATGTTCTGCCAGCTTGCTGGCTGCTGCTTGCAGACAGAGTGTCCCAAAATTAGCCAGGACTATAGCCTGGTTATGGATCGTATCAGTCTCTTCTGAAAGATGTAGTGCTTTGTAGTAACTCTCAGCAGCTTCTTTTGTATTGTTTGTTCTTTTCAAAGCAATAGCAAGCATATTATAAGTGTTGCCTAGTTGTTGAGCACTGCTCCATGAACAATCTACAACAGCATTTAGGATAGCTAAAGCCACATTATATTGCCTGTAAAGAATGTATAGCCAAGCAAGTGAAACCAAATAGTTAATAATTTCCTCTGGCTTAGCAGAAACATCAGAGTCCAGTGCTTTCATCATGTAAACAATGGCATTTCCATACAGTTTGTGGTGGCTGTACAGTTTTGCTAAGCTAAGATAGATAGTGCTGCATAGTCCTTGCTGCTCATTAGTAAACACAGAGGAAAGTGCTTGTATGAGGTAAGGTGCCACTTGGGTTGGGAGTATTGGTCTGTATTTCCTCAGGCCATAGAGCTTGGAAGCATTTTTGATGACTAAATCAATCATTTTCAAGGAATCCATTAAAGTACCAGAGCTCTGGGTAGAGGCGACCTTTAAGCAACTTAATACAATGTGTGGCAAACACTTTTCATTGTAGGACTCTGCTAGTTTGATATAACAGTTGTTTGATAAGTTGTTTTGTAAACCCAAGTCATTAAGCAACACTTGAAACCTTTCCAAGAATGGTAGAGCCTCTTCATGTTGTTTGTGTGCACTGTAGTGTTTTGCCAGGAGAAAGCATGCCCTTACCTCTGCATGTTTGTTCTGGCTCAGAATCGTTCTCTTCAGAGCATACTTTAGAATATCCGACTCCAGGTCGGTACTGCAAATGTAGCTGGGAATTCCCATGAGGAGAGCTGTAGCCTTGTCAAAAACATGAGCACATTTCTCTTTGTTCTTTTGTGTCAAGTAGATAACTGTTAGATTTGTATAAAGAGCAGTTAGAAAGTACAAATCACTAAACCCTCCAGCTATTGCTCTCAAAGCTTCCTCAAAATACACCCGTGCTTGGGAAAACTTCAGCTTTTTAACACTAAGCCTGCCTAAGAGAAAGCATAGCCTTGCTAGTGCCCAGGGCATACCTGCTTTCTTTGCTGCTTCCCGTGCTAATCTAAGAAAACTAACCAGTTCTTCTTCAGAAAACCCATAGAACATGCTGTTGATAAAGGGATAAGAAAAATCATACAGGTGTTTGAAGTTTCTCTCATACTCTTTCCTATTTAAAAAGAGTAACAATGACTCAAAGATGTCAGATGCTTGAGCATCATCTTCATGTATGTGGAAACAAGGTGCTCCAGGTGGAGGAAATATTTCCTTATTCAGAGAGCTAGCAGAATTGTTTCCTGCAGTAGCTGGCTCTTCTGCCCAAGTGGCTTCCAAATTCTTGAAGTTCTTCAGGAATTCTTCTATCTTGCCATTCTTGCTAGTAAATCCTGTTCTAGAATGCGAACATGGAGTTTCTGAAATTCAAAGATAAATTACAGATCACAACTTCATGCGTACATACACACGTTCTTTCATAGACCAACAAAATATTTATCAGTAGAAGATGCTGTTAGGAAAACATCATGTAAACGTACTGCACTTTCTTAACAGTATGTCTAGGAGACAAGCCAAAAGTGGGGAAAGGGAGAGATCAAGAAGGCTCAGGGAGAAACAAGTGGGGGAGACTGAAGGAGTGAGGATAAACAGGACTTGCTACATGTAAGCAGTTGCTGATCAGTACACTTGCCTAGCCAGGCCCTGTGCCTGATCCAACACTGATCCAATTTAAGTCCAGCATTAATTTGAACTGGTTTGTGTCTGAGTGTATATTCTCTGTACTCTGTGTGTGTGCATGAGCAAGAGATCTGCAAATGAATTCCAATTCTGACTAGCTTCAAGCAGGAGGAGAAAACCAGAATCTGGAAAGACCCCAGGTCTGAAGTGGTAGTGGCTGCTGGATGGACTTCAGGTTTAAGGGAACTGTGAATTCGAGCATGCATGTAAATTGAGCAAAGTATGCTGATGTCCTGATAAAAAGCTTGGGGGGGGGGGGGGGGGGGGGGGGGGGGGGGGGGGAGGGGGAGGACGAGCAAGACTGAGCTATTTAGGGTGTTGCAAGGATGCCTGCAAAGGTCCTGTTCTCCTGTCCACATTATCTCTGTGTCGCCAGCCATGCCTGTAGTATGTATAATAAGATTTCCACTTTAAATCAAATACTAACCCTGATTTATTGCTGGCACAGATTAACTTTCTCAAAATTGCCAAGTTATGGCAATCGATGCAGTCAGTCATTGATCTAAACTCTCCTAGTACTGACAGTGTTGAGTATCTTAGAAATATAAAAAAATGGCAAACATGCCATCATTTCTTTAGTCCTCCCACTGTTATTCAGACAAGGTAGTAGGGCAGGAAGTAGGAATATAGTTTGTAGTCATAGTCAGTGACAAAGTTTACAGCTGCATATCGACAGGAGTTTATTGAAGTTGCAGATTTAGAGCTCAGTTTTCTTAGAATCTCATTTCTAAAACCATTCAGCAAAATCATAAATACAAAAAATGGTATTTAGAAAAATGCACTACAAGTAATGATAGGGACAGCTTAGCAACTAAATGTCAAAGGGAAATAATTTTGCATCCTCATCAAAATATCTCCTTTGAGAAATATATTTATGGGATGAAGTTTTCTAGCAGATGGAGCATCTGCTCGAATTCTAATCCAACACTTGCAGGTGCCCCATAAACAGTATTTTGCCCTACTAAATTGGGGGGCTTGGGGGGTGGTGCATGTATGAGTATCACAGAAGTAGAAATAGATCATGCAGTTTGCAATTGAATAGGAAAGTCCAAGACAGACATTTTATCAGTGAAAACCCACAATGTCTTATAGCAAAACCTAAGAAAGCAAACAACAAGAGAAGAAATTTCAGAATACAAAGAGACATTAGAAGGAGAAAAGTTGGCAAAGATGCCAAAACCATCAACATTTGCATTATTTTAATGTAAAATTAATTTTATTTAAAAAGCATATGAAGTATTACCACACTCATGAGCTTTCTGAAATTCTGGTTCTTCTAATTGGTCTGTAAGAAAGAAAAAAGTCATGTTAGTTATGGCACATAAGTTCCTTTTCAGTTTTAATTATCCTAAAATAAGGCTATTTTTCAGTTTAGAATTTTCTATGTCAGAAGGATTGGGCATGTTGTGGAAATTTAGAAGGGAAGAAATTTTAAGTTTGACCCAAAGCTAAAAGATACTAGGGACTTACCCTCCTGCTGATAGAATTCCCTGATTTCTACATGCTTATCATCATGCACCTACCACTGCTCAGTAAGGTGGGGAGACATCTGCATTTTGCACTTGGAATTAAACCCAATGTGTTCTCCACAAGGGATGCATCACTGCCTCACTGAAGTACAAATGGGCAGCATAGATAGGAGTAGCTTGTATGGAATTATTCTAAGAGGAGGTAACAAAAAGCTCTTAATACTACTGAAGCAAGTTTTACCATCACTTTGAGAGGAAGGTAAAGGGGATAATTATTTAACATAGCTCGCATAGATAAGAGTGTCAGAGTTTTCTGGCCATTCCAACAACATATAGATGAAAAATCCCTTTGACTTTTCTTTTAAAAGGCATATATTTAAACTCTGTAGACGTTACTACTATAGATCTAGTTTTAAACATTTAACATGGCACATCTGTAGAATATTTACATATCTCCTTCAGATAGATCAACATAAAGTAGCATTTCAGTTGTCATGCTTCACTTTGGGATTCTATTCACTGTCTTTCATACATTGGATGCAACATAATTGGCACTGAGTGTATGAAGGATATATGGAAGGCTATTTTACTAGCCCTTAAGAATGGCCTCTCACTGACTATTTGCTTCTCAGTCCTCCTTCTTTAAATACTTTCCTGACTTGGGTGGACAAATGCCAGAGTTTTTTACAGGAGTCATGACAATGCACTGTATATTAGATTGTGGAATTGATCATCAGTAAATACTTCTCGTTAGATTGATGTAGATGGAAAGAATCAAAAACCCATTTACTCAAATCACACAATAAAATATCATAGAATCACAGACTAGTTAGGCTTGGAAAGGACCTTAAGATCATCTAGTTCCAACCCCCCTGCCAGGGGCAGGAGCACCTCACACTAAACCATATCACCCAAGGCTTTGTCCAACCTGGCCTTGAACTCCACCAGGGATGGAGCATTCACAACTTCCTTGGACAACCCACTCCAGTGCCTCACCACCCTCACAGTAAAGAACTTCTTCCTTATATCCAATCTAAACTTCCCCTGTTTAAGTTTTAAACTGTTACCCTTCTCTTATCACTACAATCCCTGATGAAGAGTCCCTCCCCAGCATCCCTATATGCCCCCTTCAGATACTGGAAGGCTGCTATGAGGTCTCCACGCAGCCTTCTCTTCTCCAGGCTGAACAGCCCCAACTTTCTCAGCCTGTCTTCATATGGGAGGTGCTCCAGTCCCCTGATCATCCTCGTGGCCCTCCTCTGGACTTGTTCCAACAGTTCCATGTCCCTTTTTATGTTGAGGACATTAGAACTGCACACAATATTCCAAGTGAGGTCTCACACGAGCAGAGTAGAGGGGCAGGATCACCTCCTTCGACCTGCTGGTCATGCTCCTTTTGATGCAACTCAGGATACAGTCGGCTTTCTGGGCTGTGAGAGCACACTGCTGTTAAGCTTCTCATCAATCAACACCCCCAAATCCTTCTCCACAGGGCTGTTCTGAATCTCCTCTCTGCCCAACCTGTAGCTGTGCCTGGGATTGCTCCGACCCAGGTGTAGGATCCCTGCACTTCTTTATCCACCGGGTGGTCCATCCATCAAATTGATGTCTCTCCAATTTAGAGACAAGGATGTCATGTGGGACAGTGTCGGACGCTTTGCACAAGTCCAGGTAGATGACATCAGCTGCTTTACCGCTGTCCATCAGTTCTGTAGCCCCATCATAAAAGGCCACCAAATTGGTCAGGCAGGATTTCCCCTTAGTGAAGCCATGCTGGCTGTCACCAAGCACCTTGTTGATTTTCGTGTGCCTTAGCATGTCTTCCAGGAGAATCTGCTCCAAGATTTTGCCAGGCACAGAGGTGAGACTGGTCTGTAATTCCCCAGGTCATCCATTTTCCCCTTCTTGAAAATGGGGGTTATATTTCACTTTTTCCAGTCATCCGGAACTTCACCTGACTGACATGATTTTTCAAATATGATGGCCAATGGCTTAGCAACTTCATTTGCCAGCTCCTTCAGGACCCATGGTTGGATTTCATCAGGTCCCGTGGACTTGTTTACATTCAGGTTCTTAAGATGGTGTCAGACCAGATCCTCTCCTACTGTGGGCCTAAGGTCTTCATTCTCACAGTCCCTGCATCTGCCTTCCAAGGCTTGGGTGGTGTGGTCAGAGCATTTGCCAGTGAAGACTGAGGCAAAGAAGTCATTCAGAACCTCAGCCTTCTCCAAATCCAGAGTAGCCAGTGAATATTAAGTGAATATTGGAAATGCTAGCTCTGGGTAAGACAATTTACATTTAGCAACAGTGCAGTTTAAGAGAGAAAAGTGATAATGATGGTGCTGTTAGCTGAGGAAGATGTGAAAAGAAGTTAGCACTTGCAAAGACTAGGGAGGAGATGAGATTTGGTGAAAAAATGTGCAACAGGCAAAAATAGCAATGTGTCTATTAAGCCCATAAGATTGATTTAGTACCTAATAGAAGTCTGAGGCCTGTTCTCAGGGTTTCTGTTGGGCAAGGAAGGTGAGATGTGGAGTCATTTTGCATGTTGACATGAGTTGCATTTTGCAACTCAGATCTGACAAGCCTTGGCTATTGTTCACACACGCATAGATTTACAGAATTAAACCCATGCACCTGAGTCCAATCTATACATGGCTCCCTTCAAATTGGAGCCTAAGGGCCTGTCTTCTAGGATGGCATTAAAGGAGATAAAGCTGTTAGATATTTGACAAGCCTACATATTGCCTCAGAGGCGCCTGTAGTGGGATAAGAAATTGCTGCTTCTCCTCAGTTCAACAAGACAATTATATTACACTACCTTATCCTGAATCTGTAAAGGTGAAACCTCAATTATCTCAGTTGAGTTTATGTAAAGAATGTTCACTTAGAAATAACAGCTATATCAGGTAATGTAGCTAGAAGAATATATCTTTTTTCTTTGTAGGAATAGGAAAATACCAAAATCTATACCTTTGAAAGTTAAATCAAGCATGAAAATATGTATGTTTGCATCAGCTTGCAATAATTATTATGCCAACTTTCCCAAGATGAATAAAAAGCCAGCAGTATTTGGGTGAACATACTGCATTTTATAATACAGCACACTAATATATGAAAGCTTGAAGATCTGTTTAGCTCAATTGTTAAAACCCTGCTGTTTAATTCACTCAGAAGGACAAAAGAAGATCTGCAAATGTTCTGCTGGGAAAGGTCTTCCATCAGCAGGAAAGTAGCAAAGATGATATAAAGGATTTTTACATGTCGTATCTATGATCAAACTGAATACCAAGATATTTCAAGATAGCTGTAAAGACTGGAATCCCATTGAAATAAGAAAAAAGTTAAGAGGGATATAGGAACTGCATGCAGTAAAAAGGAGTAAGACTCACCTATTCTGTACACAGAGCAAACATCTGTGATGGATGTTTGTTTCAACAACTGTATTACTTCTTCCAAATCTTTTTCTTTGCAAAAAAATGATAGCTCTTCTGCTTCAAGAAAATCCAGGTCTTGTGTCCTAACAAGGAAAGGAGAAGCTTTGAACATGGCTGAAAGCAGATTTGGATTGAGGAGCTCAGTCAAACTGGAGTTTGTTAGACTAATACAAACTTTACATTATAGGTCCTTTTGTGCTAAAAGTCAGTGACATTCATATTCATAAACATATGTACAAACTGGTAGTAGCTATACTTGCAGCTAACAGTTTCTGTCAGATCAGATTAAGTTTTATGGCTGGTTTATGGTATAGCATTTTATGAGAATTCATTAAAAACATAAATCTTTAAAGACATTATGACATTGATTTCGTAGTATAAGCTTAAAGTTACACATCTTTGTACTTGCAAACAATGATTAAGAGCTTGTTTCAGTGTGCAAGCAGTCCAGACATGGTAGCAAGATCAGCCTACTTACATGGTGCCAATGCATGCTGAAATGCACACTTTTTGCAGGTTTCTGTCCACATTAGGAACAATTATTTGTAAGAGGACCTCATTTAAAGCAAGGCCTGTAATTAAGGGTACTAGCAAAACCAGAACTTGAATGCTTTTTACACATAGACCTTCAGAGACCAGCAAAAATAGAATCTTTTGCAAGAGTAAAGCTTCTTGGATCTTGCAATCCAGAAAGTGGAAACTGAGCCAGATATAACTGCAGCAACTCCTTTTGCCAACAAGAAACTTTGGTACAGACTGATAATACTTCCCAGCATTTAAGCAGATATCATCTTCCAATTTCTTTGCATTTGATTTGACTGCCACTCACTATGACAATTCTCAATGAAACAAGCAAAAAAAAAAAAAACCCAAAACAAAACAAAAAATAAGCAAACCTGACTTCAACATTCAGTATCTTAAAGTTCAAGAGACCAAGTCTTTTTTTTGTTTATGAGTTAAATATGTCACTTACTTATTTCCAGATAAGTCCACTTTAACATGACTTGTCTTTACAAAACCTATTTGGCCAGTAAACACGTGTCTTCCAAGAAACCACTCCATGCATTCAATGTAATATCCAAGAATCTCAATTTTGTCCCCTTCCTGGAAGCTCATCTCTTCTAACACAATGCCTTCATAATTTATCACAGCTAGACAGAATCCTTTTTCTGTATGATAAGGAGATAAGTAATATTTGCAGACAAAGTAATTTAACACAAATACACTTAATAAAGTAATAACTCATCAGAAGAGTGCATTTAGCAGCAGACATTTGTGGAACTCAAGAGTTCCAATTCATGGAATGAGAGTCACATCCATTGCAGCAAGATTTAAAGCATCCAAACCTAATAGGTTTCATTTGAGCAATTAGAATAGTAAATAACATAAAGATACTAGTTTCCCAGTGATTAAAAAGGCAAGTCTAAATTGTTTTCAAAATTCTAATTAATTCCAACATGAAGCAATAAAAGGAGATGTTTCAAGTCCCTACTTTCCCCTCTTATAAAGGGCTCTGAACATGGGCTAGAGTAAAAATACTTGAACCAATTAATAAAATACATGTTGGATAAACATGCAGTTATATACCAGTATTAAGACTGATACGTATGTAGAAAATAAGACATTTAATCACAAACCTCAGACCATCTGTATAAGTTTCATTACTCTGGTAATATTAAAGCAATATCCATAGGAAAGGTCCACAATAATTACATCGGCTCATTGTCTTATTTTAAAGTTTGTCATCAAATCTAAACAGGCATCCTCAATTTAATTACTCTTTACTACTTTGTGAATCTGCTTAGTATGGTATTTAGGAGGAAAAAGGGGAGAGATAATCCTTTAGGGTTTAGGCAGAGATTTATGCTCTCATTAATTTCATTGCAGTGCAATTTTGAAAGCTGTTTTCCCATTCTAATACAATGCAAAAAAGTTATTGAACCCTTTAAAATCCATCCTAACAAAAACAAGGAATAAGTATGGAGGTTTTTTAATTCTGACGTTTGAATGAGTTTCTTACCAACTTTCCTGATGGATTGTGATTCAGTTTTGAGTGTAAAATCCATAGGATCAGAATACCCTTTAAGAAACCATCTGAAAGCAGGAAAAAAAAAAAACATTGAAGTTGGTGTATAAAATACACCATTTTACTAAATGTTGTGACAACAGTGATATTTCAAATCCATTTAAAAACAGATGCACTCTTTCCACAATTATCTTTCACTGTCCAGACACAGCTATGTTTTGAGTAATTGTTACTTTTGTCAAAGAAACCTGACTGAGAAAGTTGACCTTGGGTAGGGAGAAATAGCACAACAGAAAATTTCTAGCTTTTTAACTACTAAGAGGATCAAGAATGTGTAATTTCCTGGTGATTCCTGAAGTGAGACAATTGATGTAATTTTTGCTTTATAACAACTATGAGCTTAGGCATGACCTTGAAACAAACTGCATTAAGGAAGAGGATGGCTCCTGTCAATAGTGTTGAGTAAAAGCACTGCTAGTCTGTTTTCTGCATTTCCAAGTAGCCACCTGTTTCCATCTGTATTCCCAAGCATCCTGAAAACTGAAAACTTTCACTTAATGTTATACTATAAATGTTAATAGATGTTATTACGAAAAGCCCCTCTACAGGGGCTGGATGCTCTACAGGCATCTGGATTAGTTTCATTTGTGTGGTTTGGAAGACAGATGTGTACATATGAAACAGATGCATATGAAATATACAGTCAGGTACCTACTGATGAAAAGGGATCAATGGCTCCACAGAAGCATTAGACATGTCACCATCCACAGATACACCTGCTATGTCTTCAGTAAAAGCCCCAGTCTCAAAATAACTGTTTATTTCATTATCTGTTATCTGTCTTATCAGATTGTCAGGATATAAACCAAAGAATGCCCCTAAAAAGAAACCGGTGGAATAGATGTCATTTTACATAATGTTTTACTGTCATACAAACTTTAAACTGGCTTCAAGACCATCAGTAACATTAATTAGAAATTAAAAGCCTAAGATTCCACAAGATTTTTCTTTGATTGTCAGATCAAAGACAAGATGATACTTTCTTATTTAGTTTCCCTTTAAGAAAAGGGTGTGTTTGATGAGATGTGCAATCTTCTGCTGCTGCACCATTTTTCACATTCTTATTGCAGTAATCAGTGATCTGTTGAGCCCATCATTCTGTTTCTGATGGTCACATGAGGCCATGTTATTTAGGAGAAGCATAAGAGCCTGGCAACCATCTGTAAACTCTCTCCTGTACATCTTCAGAATGGGCAATAATATTAAGCAAATTAGAAAGTACATCCCTCCCTAATCCATTTGGTATGCATTTATGGACCAGTTGTCCAGGAATTTCTCTAATCCCCTTATGATCCAACTGAACCCAATCTGTGTTTCTCCCTTTCTTTTTTTCTTTCTGGTGCATATGGGTGAATATATTCAAATTTCAACTTCAATCTATATTTAAATAGGTCTTAATATTTTGATTTTGGAATTTTAAAGAAAGGTGTTTATCTACATTTAGCGTTAGTATGTACAGTGTTCCTTACCTTCCTGTACTAGCAGGCTTCTGTACATCAAATTTAGTGATTTTTCATTTATAGAGACTTTAATGCCTGTTTCTTCCTCCTCTTGAGAGCAGAGCCAGAAAGACTGATCTAGGAATAAGTTCTCCATGCAATGGTCTATAAAACCTAGAAAAATGTTTTTCTTTGCAGTATTACACAAGATAATAACATTTCACAAAGTCAGCCGTTCAGATAACTTCATTATTGCTTAATCAAAATAAAGAACTAATTTTACTACCCAGTATTACAGCTACTTTTAATGCTTACCTGTCACAACCTATACCTAAAAGACAAACAACTTTTCTGTGTCTAATCCTGCTGAAAAAGCAGACTGTGTCCTCCCCTTGTGTGGGTTGCCCTTAGCTTAGCTATATTCAAAAGGTTTGCAGTTTGGGGTAATCACTAGCAAGCTTTGAGCAACAAGTGTTTAGCATCACTTAATAAGAGATGACCTGAAATCATCTCAAAAAATAGCCTCTTCATAAATTTCTGTTGCCTGATTCAGCTGTGCCAATTAATACAGATACTGTGCCTGGCTATCAGATTCCTGGAATATTTTTGGGATTGAGATGATGCTGCTTTCCAGAGTCATGTAAATCACAAGGAGTGATTACCTTGGAAACTGGGTCTCCTTACCTTAGGGCTTTCAGAGCTACATGATGTTACAGGAAGACTTAGTGGTATATCATAATCAGTATGGTATAGATAGATTATTAAAGGGCCAATATTAATACATTTGCAAATCCTGTGTGTAAAAAGCTATGATAAAGAGGAAAGGTGGACAGATCAGTGATTAAGGTGCTACTCTGCTATTCAGAAGATGCTGAATCAATTCCCTATGAGCCACAGCCTCACCTAAGAAGAAACTTCATCTTCTTATGCTTTCTCTGCAAAACTGGATTGAAAATATTTTTTTCTAGTTCTCTAAGGAGCATTTTAAAATACAGTATAGGAAGTAAATAGCAAGCATGATATTAAAAATAAAAATCTTTATTTTGAATTGCTCTGATGGAAACAGGCAAATTCAATAGTAATGCACACAAACTCTCCATGCACAAAAATATCAGGTGAACAAAATGGAGACAAAGATCTGATTCAAATCCTATTCCTCAGAAAAAAACTGTGAAATTATAGGATATAAAAAGTGAAACTCAAATCAGTGTCATCATATTGCTACAGAAGCCATGCTCAGATTTAGAAACAAAACTGAAGTAGGCAAAGCATATGAAGCAATCTTTGTTTTACTTGATATTTCCTCTGAAGCATTACCAACTCTACAGCTATTCAGGAAATATGCAAAAGAGCCCAGTTGGAAGCATGAGCAGAGATCTAGAAAATACACTCTGTGAAGGATGACAGGAATTACGGTTGATTTTCCTAGTGAAAACGCAGTGGATGTGCAGGTTAGATGTCTCCATGGTGCAAAGAAAGAGTTACCTCCACATGTCTGCAGTGATCAGAAAAAGCTGTAAAAGCATTCAAGTTGCAGCACAGGTTAGACTTTAGGAAAAGCCCTGGACAGACTGCTTGGAAAGCAGATACAATCTGATTCTGCAGTATTTAACTTACTTAAAACATCTGCCAGGAACGATAGTTGTTATCTATTCTGGGACAAAGGCAGGTTCTCCTGGAGGTTTGAGTGTCTCCCCAGCCCTAGTTCTCTAGTACCCAGTTCAAGAACACTACTTAACTGCTATTAGGAGTTAATACAAGAACCTCAAAATCCTGTTCAACATGTTCCCAGTCAATCAGAAATTGCATGCAGAGAAATAAAAAAAAGCATATTGAACTGTTGTATGGTGAAACAGCTTTACCCAGTGAATGGTAGGTTAGAAACTTCCATATTTCTTCAAAAGTTTTAAACGTCACCACTATTAGATCTTGATCACTATGAATAGATAGCAGCCTGGCAGACAACTCCTAAAAATCCAAAACAAATACAAACACCAAAACAACATTTTAATTGCAATTATACTATATATGAGCACAAGTAATCACTAGGTAACACATTAAAATGCTATGCATTAAGATAGATAAAAAAATCACCCAGGGTTTTACCTGTATGAAATACCTGTTCTTTAACATTTATCTACTACATACAGTAAGACAATTTTTAATCTCACTTTTTCTTACCAATTGTACCAGCAGTTCTAGTGAGGTTAATTTACACAGAAGTAAAGACTTCAGGACTGACCACACTGAGTGAGATTAAAGTCCTGTCTGGCTCAGACACATCTATAAATAGTGGCCAGTACTCTCTATTCGGAGTGTGAAAGCTGGGCAAGCATCTACTGGTACTTTCCAAGAAAGCCCTTCTATCACAGAGCAATTTACAGCTTGGAACTGCCTTTGCCAGGGGGCATCAATATTTAATAGTGGAAAAAGTATCTTTTGCTTGTTGGTTTGGCTTTGTTTGTTTTGTTTGTTTGTGGGTTTTTTTAGTTAAAATTTCTGTAGGTTATTTAAGTTATTGTGAAGTTTTAGGATCCATAGCGTCCTCATGTAGCTTATCCACAGAGTTCTGTTCACATTTGAGAGTATGAGGCACCTTTAAACCTTCTCCCTGGTAGCTTATCTTGTTCCAGAGGAGACATTGATCAGTTATGCCCTAAGTTGGCTTTTCCTACGGTTAAGATAATTAAATGTAGTGGACTATTATTTTTTTTTTTTGGGGGGGGGGTGTTTTGTGGGTTTTTGATTGGTTGGGTTGTTGTTTTTTTTAAAAGATCCTTTTCTCCTCATTTGTACTGGTTTGTGCTGCTAGATAGAACAGAATTAAACTGTGCATTTAAGAAAGGTGAGCTATGATTGTTGTAAATTATAATGACGGATTTCATGAGGAATTTCAGAAATGCTAAAAGGGAGAACTACATAAACCGTCAAATAGATGCAACAGATATACATTTTAATGGATTCCAACCAGAAAGCTGTAACACAGTCTGGTTGCACTTCAATTAGTAGCTGAAACACAGGGTTCTCCAGTGATGCTGGTTACTGTCTTTCAGGAAAATACAAAGAACTGCGGCAATTTATGAGAAGTGTCTGAAACAGTATGTCAAAGAATAAATCAGGTGTTAAGCTAACTGGTGTAATGCTACTGCATCATTTCCCAGTACTATACCCTTACTCCCATCACATCAAAATCAAAAATGCATCTTAGAAGTATTTAAGGACTGATCAATAAACTGATTCTAACTTTGGAGGGGGGAAGAAGGGGAGGAATCATCATTCAAATATTTTCTGTAATCTGGCAAGATGAAGCTACGTTTTACGTCTTATGTGATGATTTTAAAAGATCTCAATTCTGTTTAAATTACACATTTTCAATTCACACAACAGGAATAGATTAATAGAAATTCTTCTTTGAAAACAGAAGTCCAATTTAAGCCTCTTCAACATGCATGCATCATCACTGCTTTGATCTTCTGCATACCCCCTTCTACACTCGATTAAATATTAACAAGAGCCTGAAATCTATTAATAAATTGCCAGAACATGCTAAAATACCTCAGCCTCAAGTGCTTTATGCACTGCTGAATATCAAAACATCATTCTAAGGAAACTTATCATTATAAATCTTGCTTCCTTCAAAGTCTTTTTGCCAGTCTGTTTCTAATAAGGTCACAGATCTGTCTATTGGTATGCTGTTTATCCTTCTCCTCCTGATCCCTTCTCCCTTTATCCACCTTCCCCTAAATGAAAGCCAGGGGAGATCAGCTGGAGCATAGCCATAAAATCAGCAGGTTGGTGGTAGAGAGTTCATAACACATGAAAGGAAAATCTTGTAGAAACACATGCACCCAAGACAGTCAAATTCATGACTAAATGTTTCAGTTTCACTTCATAGTGAAGGAGTTTGGAACTCATGGCTCAGGCAAAAAAGGGACACCAAAGTTCAAATGATATCATCCTGGTTTTTCATCAAGAAGGAAGAGGAGACTTTAAGTTGTATATGTAATGAAACTCATTGGTTGTAGAGGATGGGCTTCCTATATACAAACAAAATAAAGATAGCAATAAAAATTGGCCAATGCTCTTATGTGCTATTTAAAGCTATGGCCAACTAGCTCTAGGAAGTCAAATATTTGTGCTATTCTCCTTCACACTTCCTATTTGGTTTAGCAGCAGGCTTCCCGGGTCATCATCATCATCATGGCTTGACTTCGCGAACGAAGATTTGGGAAGGGCATTTACCCACGATTACTACAAGCGCGCTGATGACTAAGAAGGCCAATGTGGGATAGGCAAATCCGGCTACAAAAAGCACAGCAGAAGGTCTCCTTGGGTGAAACAGGTGGGGCGCGATTCTTCCTGTGTTGTCTTTTCTCCTCGAGACTAGTTCTTCATGAACTCTCAAAGGAGTCAGCGGCATTATGTATGGTGTGCCTCCAAGTCTCCCGATTGGAGTCCAAGGTGGACCACTGATGGTAGTCAATATGGCCAAGGCTAAGGTATTATTTCACTTGATGTAAATCAAAGCAGAACATTTTTACTCTAAAACCCTTCAATGCCTTATTTAGCTGGGTTTATTTTACGTCTATTTGATATTCAAGTCTTTTTCAATGGCTCAGTATTTCTAGTGTCTCTAGATAGTTTTGGGCCATGGGAAACTGGTCACTGAAATTCAAGCATGGGAACCAGATATCTCTCGGGCTGTTTCAGTAGCACAGGGTGTGTTCTCCAAATAAATAGAACAATTCCCAAGCAATTGACTTACACTGAAAACCACCATCACCTCCCTGCTGTCATTTTCCAGAAGACGGAGCTGCCCTCTGAGCTGTCTTTGTAGTCTGGGATCAGGACATCCGCTCTTTCGTCTTACCATCGTTAACTTCAAGGATATATCTGGAGAAGGATATCCATTTACAGCACTTACAGCTTTGAAAAACCATAAATCCCTCAAAATTATACAATCCACATAAGAACTATTCTTTTTTTCCAGCTTCACAGACTTACTGCTTGTTTCTTTTCCTTTTTATTATTCATTAGGGATAGTAGCCTAGCATGAAGCAAGATTTTTTCCAGTTGCATAATAAAGGGCACAGCTATACGAAAGAAGGGCTATTTGAAAGTCTAAAAATGTTGGGAGACAACTGACACATGCGAATGGAGAAGAGAGAAGGGGTAAAAAAAAAAAAAAGCAGATTGGTAACCTCTCAAATAGACAGCTCTATGGACATCAAGAACATGCCCAGATTTCCATATATACTGTGCATATTTTAGCTCAAGGCAAACAGATACTGGAATTGCAAAAATAACCTACCAAAAATATACAGATAATTCAACAAATTTTCATGGTAATCTCAAATTCATGGTTATCTGACACGTCACCCCCACTACTTCAGGAAGCTTCTAGAAGTTGAACATTTTGAAAAGGTGTTTCTCAGCTCAGCTGGTTGAGAAGTACCAGCAAAGACAAATGCTCTAACTAAAAGCTCACATGATTTTCCTAGTATATCTGAAAGAAGCTAGAAACCTGTGCTCAGATCTTGACATCTGTTTATGACAATCTTTTACTACAGCTAAGGGTACAGTTCCAGCCAACTTCTCTCAGATAAAGATCTTTAATAAAGATGCTTTCATTCTGCATGTCTTAATTTAACTCAATAACAGTAAATCATACTCATGTTTTCAGATATCCAGATGGGCACATATAAGCCAATAAGCCACTCAGGAAGAATCTCAATTGCAAGTGTGTAAATAGGTCATGCTTCCAGCAATAAATAAGACTGTTAAACATCCTGAAATATTCCACATCCTATTACTTCCACCTTTTAGTCAGGTAAAATAGATATTTTTCACATTCTAGTCTAATATGCTGCATCTTAATGTGTTTCCAGAGGGCTTCCTACGTATGTCTCCAGGAGTTTTACAATGACTTGTTCTTAAATTGCTTATTACTTTAAGCTCAAGAATTGTTGCTCAGAAATATAAAGCAGTGTTACTGGACTACGAAGCCTCTCTAAGTTGTGGTAATGTAGTCAGTTGGTAGTACTAAGAGTGCAAACTAGAGTCTGAATTTTACTGAGATCACTGTTAGGTAACAGTATTGTTGACCTTTCCATTTTACTTAAAGCCATAAAAAGATACTGGCACAAGTCTATTACTTAAAAAAAGTAATTTTTTTATTTTACATAATCAAGTTGATCCCAAGTTAAACTGTGTTTCTACAGGTAAACATTTAAGTCTTACATAAAATTCATCTTACTAAAGTAATTACATTGAATTAGAACAACTGAAATATGGCTGCTTCTTCCATAATGTCTTACAGAAATGAAGCATGGTCCAAAACCCCACCACACCTATAGTAATCTTCCTGTCTGCTTCTGTGAGCTCTCATCCATACCACCAGTTAAGAACCAAAATCTTTAGAGTGAGACAGACAGGTACATAAGCACAGATAATTTAACTACGAATAACCATATGCCTGGGGGAGATTGTCTGCTACTGATGTGATTTGTTAGGTCAAGCCAGAAAGCCGGGCACATCCCAGTGATGGTTTTTGATGGTTATTTCTCTTCCTCCACGAGGAAAGAAATGTGACTAGAGCCTCAATTCACAGAGAAGGTCATGAGGCCTCCAGAAGTGACGGCTGCTGTATCTACTTACTCAAGAACTGCACTCAATTGCAACTTCATTGAAAATACAGCATTAACAATAAGAGACTTCAAAAGGCCACAAATTTAAAAATGAGGAATTTGAAGAACTGAAACCCATATGCGAAATTAGTTATAAACTTCATTTGCTTTTCTTCTTTTTTCTTGGCCATTACAATATAATCCATAAATAGTTTCTGGCTTCTACAGCAGTTCTCTCTTTTTATAAGAAATTCTCAACAAATCTTGTGTAGAATTTGGATACTTCACAGCTCTTTGAAGTATGTTATAAAGCTTACAGGATTGAAGACTTCAAGTGTTGACACAGTTGTCTCAAAAAAAGTAAGCAATGAGAAGCATATTATTTATAAGATATGGTGGGAAAAAAAATGACTTACCAGTTGGAAAAGTCTCTGCTTGACTAGGAAGGATCCTTGAATTGACATTCATGCACGTTTCACGTTGAGAACATTCTATTATGATAAATGAAGGGAATAGGTAAGTGCATTTTCTAAGTCCATATAAATCACACACACCAAAGAAAATCCAAACCAACAAAAAGCCCAACAACAAAAACACCCCACGCTTTCAAAGCATTTGGTGCATTGGATAATTACTAAAAGAAAATAACTATGTTTTTTGCCTTCTTGCTATATAATTCCCCAAACCCACAAGAAGTATCTGCAGATCATTTCTCTCCTACTGGGGAGGAAGCTAAATCTTGATTTCAACGTTCTAATGTGAATCTTCAGGGACATGGAGAACTTGTGGAAAGATGCCCTCTCAGGAAGCTGAAGCCTCATTTGGGAGGGAGCAATGGTGAAACTTTGTTTTCTCTTCCCTTGCACCTATAATAAGTACCCTCCACTGCCAATTTATACCACTGAAGCTTCAATGATTCCAGTGCCTTGTACCGATTTGTACACTGAGAGAAATAATCATTCTCTATTTGTCATAAGCTTAATACTTGGGTGGGGGTAATGTTAAAACAAGTGATTTGAAGTTTTAGAAAAACAACATAAGTGTATTTTATGTAAAGAGCAATCTGATTATTTTTTTTTCCAGCCCACATATCTTTCAGTCCTTCTGTAAATTTGACATTTTCATGCTGAAGAAACACCCACTCCAACCAATTCCATTTTCTAAAGATTCCTTCGGGGAAAAAAAAAAAAAAAAACAACAACAAACCAAATAACAAACAAACTATGAAGAGAAAGCTTGATATTTCCAAGAAATGAAAAATTGTCTGAGACACTTTTCATGCATCCAAAGACATTTGCCACTGCAGCTTTTAAGAAACTTAGAATGCCCTACTACATGTCCTACTACAAATCTTCTGCATCTTCCCTTGAATGCATCTATTGATGTTACGTGAACAAAATCATGCAGATAAATAAGGATACATAGACACAGAATTCTCCTATTTCAGAAAAAAAGGTGGCAAGCAGTAAAAACATCATCTTTAAATCCAATTATTATCGTATACTAGAATTAGAAACCGAATTCCCAAGCACTTTGGTATTTGTTGGGTTTTGGTTGGGTGTTTGACAGGGTTTGGGATTTTTGTTTGATTTCTTAATCTATTTGAACTCTGATATTTGTTTTAAACCAGAAATTTGACAGTAAGCTCACTGCAGTGTAGGCTGAATGTGTTTAAGAAACATCATAAATTTGTTCCCCATAGCTTCTGAGACTGTACATAGTTGTAGTTCTACTTTTCGTTTTAGTTGGAATTACAAAGAGAACAATTGTCAAAACTTAAATAACATGTTATCAATCACTTTGATCATCACTAAACAGTTGATAAGGACAATTAAGTAACATATTTTTGCTATGTGACCTTGACATTACTATTATTACCAGCTATGGACTTTCCCTGAGAGATATTTATCAAGACAAATAACCAGCAGGTAATATTTTATTTAAAACTAAACCTACTTTTATTACTTTTAGAGGAAAGCAAAAAACCATGAGCAAGCATTTTATTACTTATGGGAGTTTGTCTAAAAATAGATTGCTATTAAATATAAGCAAAAACATGAGTTACTAGAAATACTTTTTAAACATTAAGACTGTTTTGAATGCTTTAATTAGATTCAAAGACTTAACATGAACTCCATGCCCCATTCCTAATTGTTGAATGACTTGCACACTTCTTGGCAAGCTAAAGAGAAACTCTATACTGCTGTGGGATGCCGGTACCCGGTAAACTTTGATGTCAGCAGAGTTGAGTTATAAACAGAAAGACATTGTTTAAGCTATAGGACATATAATTTAGAATAAAATTTACAAGAAATCTGCAGAGGGACTTTTTACAAGGGCATGTAGTGACAGAAAAAGGGGCAATAGATTTAAACTGAAAGAGGGGAGATTTAGGTTAGACATTAGGAAAAAGTTCTTCACTATGAAGGTAGTGAGACAGTGGAACAGGATGCCCCAAAAAGTTATGGATGCTCCATCCCTGGCAGTGTTCAAGGCCAGGCTGGATGGGGCTTTGAGCAGCCTGGTCTAGTGGAAGGTGCCCCTGCCCATGACAGGGGACTGGAAGCAATGAGCTTTAAGGCCCTTTCCCACACAAATTACTCTAAGATTCTATGATCTTTAGATGAAGGGGAAAAAAAATAAAATTCCTAAGAATTTTACTTGAACTGGATTCATATAGTCTAACTCAACTTTGCTTCTGAATCTTAAAGACTATAGCAAAAAAGTGCTAGAAATAGAACTTATTTCAGTGTTCTAGCTCTTGGGTTCTGCTAATTTTCATCTTATCCTAAGAAATAAACCATTTGCACAAAGCCTATACTCAATTGGGTCATTTAATAATCCAATCTATGCAGCATTACGATTGAGGAAATACAACTGTTTGCTTTGTTGATTTAACAGTTGTAGCTGCATTTAAAAAGCAAAATCTCAGCTGAAAAACATATGACAGTTTTCTGCTTGCTTACAGTGAGCAATATTTAAAGAACACAGGAATTTAAACACAAAGAAAAGAGCAGAATGACCAGAATATACCAGTTGAGGTCTTACCCATTTGTTCTTGCAATGAGTCCATCCTGACTCCATCCCTGACAGGGCTGATGGCATCACTGGCCTCTGCATGTTTCCAGTCAGACCCAAACCTTCCCTGCTTCAGATCTTTAACCTCTAAGTTTCTGTCTTGCTTTCCCTCTAGACCAGGGATGACGGCATTAGTGCTGAGCATGGATGTGCTGCCTGCTGCTGCTGAGCTCTCCATAATTTGCAGTTAACATTACCAACAATCTAAGGGGAAAAATATAGATAATATTTTTTTTTTAAATCAGAACACATGCACATATTCAAGAGCTGTCCTCTCCTGCAGGAGTTATTTTTAGTTGTAATACAAATGAAATACTGGCTTTATAAGTCTTTCAGTGGAATTATAACACCCAAATTCATCCTAGAATAAGCTTCTGCAATCAGGTGGCATCATGGTTTCAGCAACGAAGCAATAGATTTGACTAACACCACAGTCCAAGGCCCGAAACATACTTGTACTCACTGCTAATTATTCATCCTTGGCCAGCTTTAACACAGAGCCTCCAAAGAATGGCATCATTCACATTAACAGAGGCAATGCAGGGGAAAAACATCATTTTCTAAGGGTGACAAGAATGGATGGGTACTATGTTCCTAATTCAAACAAGCAGGAAGGTTTTTATAAAACCAGCTGAAGAATGAACTCTCTGCAGGAACCCACAGTGCAGAAAGACTGGCATACATGGATCCAAAGATTTCTTTGCAGTAAAGCAGTAGAGTGATCGACTGAAGCTAGAGGCAGAGTCTGGCAGCAAGACTGTTACTGGCATGAACATCAGAAAAAAGGAATAGAATGGAAGTAGGGCGCAAGTAATCGCAAGCTTCACTGCCCCCTCTATAGTCACTGACACGAGACATCCTACAATCCCATTTTTGAGGCACAAACTATTTCAGCGTCAGAAAATGTGCAGCCAGACTAGACCAATGCATCTGGAAAGGACGTGACTCATGTAGCCAGCACATGCCCCACTGCTATTTAGACTCTTTTCCTCAGTGGGCTCTCACATGCCTCTTTAATTGATTTCCTAAAGCCACTGGATAGATTGTTTTAGTTCTGTCACTTGGACTTAATCCAAATTCCTCTGTGCTTACTCCAGCCCTAATCATTAATGAGTTACATTATGAGTATACAAACTTGTAGTCTTTGTAACATTTCCTCTCTTGCTTTCTTTACAGCAGAAATTGGTTAAAACTGAAGTTTTTGATGAAAGATTACTTCTGCTCTACCAAAACCTCAGACTAGTGCTTGGTCACTTAGTGACCCCTTACAATCTGCCTTCAAATGGGTCAAGAAATTTCACCCTCCTCTGTTGAACACGCAATGAGGTACCCCAAAGCACAATGTTCTGGCTTGGTTCTTCATATACATGCTTTCCAACACTTCTTGCCCTCCAATCTTCATGTCACAGATCCCTAAACCCGAGTAAACCATGTGCCAGTGTGAACATCACAACTCCTGGTTGTCTGCCACAGCAGACAACCCAGGATAAGGCATTGATCTGTCTGCAAAACTTTCATACTGGTTTGCAGTCATTGAAGCCTTTAGCCCACGGAGCACTTGAAAAAACAATAAAATAAATATAGATAGAAGCATGTGATGCAATTATAGAAAAATTAATGAGGTATACTTCCTGCTGGTATGACCAACTCAGAGAATTAAACCATAATCATATCTACCACAAGCACGTAAATTAACGAGAGAGTTTCTCTTGCTAACTTCTCTGAAAAACTGCCTATCAGACTTGATGACCTAGTTAGAAATGATTAAAAAAACAGGCCTACCACAGAACAAACTCGTTTTGCTACGGATATGCCTGTCCATTTATATAGCTGTTTTTTTCCATAAAGTAGTGATAGTAGCAAAGACCATTATTTTCAGTGCTGTATCAGGATAATATGTAATGCACTGTAACTTTCATACTTCAGAAATAAACACATTTCTGCATATGTTTTGCAAATACTGGCAACTCCTGGTCATGCAAATGTACATACTGTATTTTAAGGATAATTTAATTCCAAAGGTGGTGGCTTAAATTACATTGCTCTATCAACCCACAGCTAGTTGTTATTATTAGATTAGGAATATCCTTAATCCCAGAAGTGAAATTCAGTGTTCAGAATATTAATTTTCTCCATCAGCTCCTATCTACAGACAAAAATATAATTCTGAACAAAATTTAGGAAAACAAATATACTGTGGCTTGGACTCTTAGAATTCAGTTGAGTTGGAGAAGAGAAAGCTTCCATGTCCTCTGCATCAGTGCCTACTGGTAAGTGTAACATATATACAGAGCTGTGAATGAACCTATAAAGTTTGGTGCCGCAAGAGCAAGTAGGACATCTGAACAAATCAAAATGGATATGATCTGTTTAAGAAGATTCAGTTATAGTATCCCAGAGCCGAAGCCAAGAAAAAGAATCATCAGAATAAGTGAAAGAAAAGCAAAACTGGTATGTTCTTATCAATATTTTCTCTTGGCTCTTCCAAGATACACAGGATGAAAATTAAAGACCTCAAGCATTGTTAAGTCATGCTCTCCTCTACAGATTCCTATCTTTAATGTTTGCCTTAACTATCAAATGTCAACCCATGTGGCTCTGTATAAACTCAGAGAACAGTAAACTTTCCTGTAGCTAGGCACATAGTCCACCTAGGTGCTTTTGAATATTTATTTAGCATCTAAATGTATCTTAAGGGGTACAAATTGGGTACCAAGTGACAAAGATTTCATAGAATTTTTTCATCACATCACCATCTTTTTACTATTCATCTTTGACAGTCATTTGCTCCCCAAGGAGCAAAATCATAACATACAAGCAATGCTATGGTATGATCACCATATTTATTACGCTGATGCTTTCTCATCAATTATTTAACCATTCCAGTACAAATTAAAACAGACTCATAGGCACAAAATCAGAGAAAAACATTTATCCACTATAAAACAGATCTAGAGATTATTAAACTTCAAGTGCTTTAGTCACTGTCATCATTAGAGAGTTTTCATAAATCTATAAAGCTAATTTACCATTATACTTACTAGTAACTGGCCATTTGTTAATAGGAAGAAATACAGCATGAAAAAATGGATTACAGGGCTAACACCTTGAGAAGTAAGTTTGTCTTCTGTAAAGGTACACTGTAAGAGCTAGTTATGTGCACTGAAAAAGCACTGTGTTTAGTAGTTAGACAAATGATTTTATCTCATGGTCTTTGAGGCTGGACTAAGAAATCTTTATTTGGTGCATGATGTTGAACATAAAACTTAATGATCTTTCCATTTTCTAAATCAGGAACTAACCTCTATCGAAAAGCCATGCAAGAAAGCGGTGGCACTCTACACTGATTGGGGGGGAGCCTGGCAGTCTAAGACAGGAACTCAAAGTGGGGATGCAGAGCAAGAAAGGAGAGGCAGACGCTGGACAGCTCAACAACTGCTAGAGGAGTGCTACTGTGCCACTGTGTTCATCCTTCCCCGTGGCCTGAGCTCTCTGGACAGGCTGCACTGCACAGAGCTATTGGTATCACCTCTCCAGGCCTGCAAGGCTCAGCAGATCACTCCACCTTCCCCTTGCCTTCTCACAGAGCACAGCAAGCTGGAAAGATCTGTATTCCACAGCTGTTGAACATGAGGTGGAAATAAGACACTTCTTTCCTGCTGGAAGTTAAATAGAACAACTATGTTATCATGCTTTTCCCTCTGTGGCTACTTCCTTTTCACTGAGTGCTTCTATCTGTGTTTTCAAAATACAGCTGACCAGAAGAAAAAACATATAGCTTAACATTTTCCATTTCCCTAGCTTGAAGTTGTTTTCCACCACCCACCCCCACCCCTTGCCTGTTGCTGCTTTCCACTCCTCTGCCTTTTGTTGTTGTTTTAGAAACAGATTTGGATGACAGGAATGCTTTCTCTCCCATGAACTCCTTTCCACTTTAAAGGAGGTTGAAGAAAATTCTTAACATCTACTGAACAGGTTCTGTCTCTCTCTCTTTAAAGGTGTATTTCTAAGTATGAGAATAGGACCAAATATATAAAAATACTTGAACTAGTTGTCTAAAACCTGCATGCAAAACAATAAAACAATAGTTCTCTTACTCATCTTCCCTCTAGAAGGCTCAGGACAACTTATTAATGACTAGCTTCACATTACCAGTGGCAAATACAGTTATTCTAGCTTTACAGAGATGGAAATCAAGACAAAGATTATTTGTGGTCATACAGGAGTGCTATAGAAGTGCTGGACAAACAGAATCCAGAGGTGAATGTAAACTTGAATTAATTTATCCCATACATACTGGAAACCTGGATGGTGCAAGGTTACTGTCATTGCTCCTCTCTGCATCATTTCCTGTCTCATGCAAATAAAATGACCACTAGATATGGTTTGTTTCTTCCCTCACCTCACCTCAGCCCTTGATGGAGCAGGGCAATGCTTCTAAATGTAAAGTGTCTTCCAGCAACTGCTGCTGTACCTGAGTCAACACATCTCTGGTGACCCCCAAATTCTTACTCATCTTCTGTAGTGCACTGTGTTCATCCAGGGCTCCAAACCAGGGAAGACAGCTACTGAAGCCTGCATTGCCTGATTTAAAGGACATTTGACTGTGTGCACACTCTTGATCCTCTGTTCTGCTTTATCTCATAGAATCATAGAATAGTTAGGGTTGGAAAGGACCTTAAGATCATCTAGTTCCAGCCCACCTGCCATAGGCAGGGACATCAGGACATCTCCTGCACATGCCACGTCGTACAATAGCATAGTCCTGCAACTATGCTGCCATAAACTAATCTAGGTCATTTTACTGAACTGGTGCTTGAATAGTTATTTTATTACTCCTTCTCACCAATTTCAACTCACGTTTTTTTCACATCTTGTGTATTAGGCTACAAACGTCTTACAGCCATTATAAGCTTTGTCCTCAGAGAAAGTAAATCACAGCCTTGCTGTCTATGAACTTCAGCCACAGGCATGAATTAAAAGAATTCCATACTATGTACTGTACATGCAGCACTGAACACTTTTTCCTGCAGTGCTGCTATGCATTACAGAAAGGTAAAGCAAATCTGTGATCAGGGTAAACAGACTTAGGAATGTGAGTACTCTCCAAAAGGGAAGAATGACTCCTTTATCACTGAAGTAACTTTAGGTTAGTTAGCAATTCTTAGTAAACTGTGTTGCAAGCAGTATCAATCTTCACTGTCAGTCTACAAACAAAAAAGCCCTAGCAAGCTGCAAAGATACAACAGATTTCTTTAAAGGTTTTCTCATTCTCTTACAATTAATTTTATTCATCTCATAGCATACTTTCCACTCACACTCCGGCTCTGAAAGCACCATAAGTCCAGAATTTCCAAGTTTAGATATGGAAAACTGTAGGCTAAAATCCACAATTTCATAGCTGATTAAAAATAAGCATAATCTCTAGAGGTGCTCTGAAAAAAAAAAAAACAGCTCACACTTAGAAAGCTATAAAAGGCATCTGTGAATCTTAATATTTCATTTTGAGTGCTAGGTTTGACAGAGTTTGGCCTGTGGCAGCTAGTGCAGAGGAATAAAGTAGAAGGAATGCTTTTGTTACTGAACAGCTTTTCAGTCTCATACAACACTACCTAGAAGAAGGAATACAGACCAGAACAGGAATTCCCAGCAGGTTCTTGTAACCATGACAGACCACATTTACATATATTTTCCAGTCATTTCATTACAGACAGACCAAAGTATTGACCACTACTGAAATTATTCCTGGTTAACTGGCTGCAATTCTAACATGTTAACAATAAACCTAGTCAGACCACAAGTACCTAAAACAGAGCGAAAGACAGACATGCAGATATAGAACACAGGACTTCTCCTACCTTTTCCAAGTCTGATTTACTATAACATGCTGGTAAAGAGCACACAGATCTGTGCCTTACTCAGCTCTGCTCACAACTGACTCCAGCACAGCTCTTCCTGTTTGACCTTCTTATCTTTCCTGTTGATTGCACAGCCTGGCTTGGACGTGGCAAGTACAAAAAGTTGTCTATTAACCAATACTGTTAATTCAAAAACTTCAGGTTTTTTAAAAAAGAAACACTCATGAGCATGGGGTTGAGCTACTAAAGTTCATTATGCAAAGCAGAAACAGATCAAGTGTGCTGGAAGGTTTGTTCACACACTCCTGCTTTTCAAAGCAATAATTCATGTTGGCATTTTGCATTAGTGGTTAAAAGGCTTCATGAGACACATCCAGGCCATTGTGTTAAGCACGCATTGTTCAGACAAAGTAACAAATAGTCCTTCAGATGGAGTACCAGGTTTTATCTCCCCTCTGCTTTTGATCACAGAATTAGGTTTCTTGCCATCATTCCAGCTACAAAAAGCTGTTTGACTTGCTTCTTTGATGAACTGACACTGATACACTTGGGTTTATATTGCAGAAGTGTAGAGTTCTGCAGATCTATCATGCACTATGCAGCATTAAATATCAGTTTTGGGAATTCAGAAAGTCCGTTGTGGAGTATATGCAAATCATATCTTCTGTGTCAGAAGAATTTATCGCTAATCCAGATGCTATACCCTAAATGACCCACAAAGGCAAGGACAAGAGAAACTGAAAATAATCCATCCTATTTCAAATTTGCTTGCTTTTTGTCCTCCACACCTTGAGATGTTTGCATATTGTCTTCCTTCCTAACATAATGTAATGTTCACATAAAGTTAGTCACTGTTTGGATACTCTTATAGGTGATCCCCAAGTACCCCACACACCATCGGTGTGAAGTGCATTGCAGCAGGCACTACATGAGAACAGAACAACACATTGTCCACCCCAAAATATGTTATCTCAGACATCTCTAGTCAGCAGCATCACAGTGTTTGAGGTATCAGGCCATTGACCACACGTGGTAGGTGTGTTGGTAGGGGGTGTTGTCCTGAGACACATCAGAGAACCTGTGGGACCAGGCAGCACCTGGAGAATGTGATTTGAGATGATGGGTTGTCCCATACAGCACTGCTGCTCTCCTACAACTATTGCCAGGGGGAACAGAAAAAAACCCTGACCTTTCAGATGCCTTAGAGACCTTGGTTATGACCCCTGCTAACCTGTCTCAAGGAACATGCACTTAAAAGTTAGCTTTAGACTTTATAAACTAGGTATTAATAATTACAAGTCATGCTCTCATTTACCTTACTTCATCCTGTCACACCATGTTAGTATGAATTATAAATGCTACTTCACACTGATTGACCAATCTGTTCCTGCAGTATGCTTGGGAACTCTCCATCTTTCTAGAAATTATGAAATTGGAAGGTATTCAAATAACTGTAAAAATCACAACTAACCAATCATCCCACAGGGCTCTCCTCTCACTGGAATTAATTTGATATTGCACTATAGTGCAGTACACAAAGCATGTCACTTCAGGTTTAATTAATTTATGTAGTAGCTATGCCAACAGCATGAAATACCATATTTCTGTCACCGTTTTACTGACTGATGTTCTATGAGTTTCAAGACTGCTTAAATCCTTTAATCACATTTTATTTGTATATTTAATACATTTATTTAGTATGTATATTTAGTACATTTTATAACATATATACTTTTTATATTTAGTACATCTTATAACCTCAGTTCTTCACTGGCATTCCTATCACCTCTTATGTATACTCAAGGTAGGTTTGCAAAGCAAACAAAATCATCTAACTGTGTATTTTTCCTATATGAATGCCAATCTTCCATCCTCTATTTTTATGGCCCAAAAGTTGTAGAACCTACCACAAATTAGTGTGTCACAAAAATCTAAAAAAAAAAAAAAAAAAAAAAAAAAAAATTAAAACAAATTACCAATTTTTACTATAGAGAAGTTAGGGGAAATGCAACTCACTTAAGGAAACTAATAACAAAAGAGCAACAACTGAACTCCAGGTTCCCAACTCCCCTTTCAATACCTGCTTAGAATCATACCATGGTTTCGGTCAGAAGGGACTTTCAAGGCTCATCTAGTCCAGCCCTTCCTACAGTGATCAGGGACTCTTCAACTACATCAGGAATCTTCAGCTTCCTCTGTGATTTTACACCAAAGCTCATTTAATCATGCCATTTGAGGTACTTCAATTCTTGGAGGCATATATTGATATGTGGTTTAAGTGGAAACAAGGAAAACAATCTTTTCAGCTTCAGACTAATGACATCAAATGCTGGTCCTGGACTTCTCATTGTTTTAATGAAACAGTACCAACCTGCATTACAGAAACTGAAGAGGTGAACAGCTGCTCTCATGACATAACTCCAGAGACCAATATATTGTAGCAAACAGGAAAAACACAAAAGTAGCACAGCGTGGTTTCCATATTACTAATCTCATCCCTTATACTACATTTTATTGACTAGAAATTGTGCTCCCTGTTCAGGTTTCCTTATGCAGAAAGACAGGCTTGAGCATAGGCCACCTTAAACTATTAAAGTTTCATGAAGACTCAATGGCCTTGCTTATGTTGCGCTGTCCCTGATCTTTTCAGGATTATTAAAAGAAGCTGACAAAAGGCAGGGGACATTGTGTGTTAAAACAAGACATTTCCTCTAATTGTCTCTCTCTGGCATTGCTTTCATCATCCTGTTTGTCTGCCCTTCTGCAGCTGCATGCTTGTCTGACTGCTTTTTGCTACAGCAGCTTGGTTTAGGAAAAACAACAAATTTTAATATTAAGGCCAATTATACCTTCCAATATAACTATTAGTCCATCACAGCTAGGTGCATACCTATGAAAGAGTAGTCTGTTGCCAAAGGGACTGAATTCAACACATAAGGAGAGTGAAATGTAAGTTGTTTGACTGATAATTAATAGCAAATACCAGATTTCAGCAAGAAAAGATCTTCTTACCTGCTTTACTAAATTCCTATCTGATCTCTTTCATCTCAAGTCCACTTAATGTTACAAAGCTCATTTCCCCTTGCTGAACCCTATCATTAAAGAACCTCTTTGTTTCACAGTTTGCTGAAATTAGCATTCTTCACTATTTACAGCTGGCATGACAAGTTTAAAATCACACAAGATACTGCTTTCTTGGGTAAATTAGCTTCAACCAATTCTTATTTTATCCAGTGACTGAGGTACTTTCACTTAAAAAGAAATGTAACATAACACAATATGTACTGCAAAGTTCACGAAGAATTATCACTTGAGCCCCTAGATGTGAAATCTCTCCAGCCTGAAGTGTGAACTCACAGTGATAACCTTTCACTTAGCAAACTTACTGAAATAGTTATATTGATTTTAGCAGGATTAGCAGCATACATGGGTTATGTTATGTTCACACGATAGTTACACACAAATTCCACAGAAATACGTTTACCCATATGTTTCCTTTTGATTAGCATGTTATCTCTCCACAGTAACTACATATAGAATTAACTAAAGAGTTAAAGTGTTTTTTCATGGAGTCCTGTCATCTTTCATCTGCCTGTTTGGAACTCAGATAGCTTTACTTCCCCCAGGTCCTGAAAAACACACTACCAGCTCCATAGTCTGCTTCAGAAAGGAAAAACAGAAAACATGAAAAGAAAAATATACTGTCATCCATCTGTACGGAAATGCTGTCGCCTTGTAGTCTGCAGGAAAATGCTGAGTCAAAACATCCAGCTGTTACACTGCTTAAACAGTTCCTAAGCTATTTATCCCACTCACTAAATAATAGGTATGTTTACTTACATTTACCAAGTGTTATTAATAGATGTTACTGAGTGTGTTAGTCCTCAGCACAAGCAATAACATGGTACACACCTGACAGAGCTTCCTCCTAAGGTTAGTGGCTCCTGAGAGCCACTATTACTTACTCAAGAACATTTTTAGCCATCAATAAAAAGCCAACATGGTCCTACTAGGGAAACAAATTTGGCTTATATCCAAATCACAGCAAGCAAGAAAGTTGCGATCAGATTCCCTGTGTGGCCTCAGCCATGACATGGACCATAGGCCTCCATGTATTAGAGAGAGAGAAACCTTCTAAGATAACTTCATCAGCTGAGAATAAATATTGTTACTTACCACTTGGAAGACTAATAATTTCCTTCCTTTACTCTCAAGGTCACCAGGATTTATTTTCTTCCCTATAGAAATAAGAACCTCCTCAAATTAGGCACAGACTTTCAAGCTGCACATGGCACAGAAAGCTTTTACTTCTCACTCACCCAAAGCCAAAAGCATTTAGACAGTTTGTATTCACAGGCTTCAGTATAGGGAATGAGCTTTCTCTGGTTTTGTATCCATTTCTAAAGTGAATTTAAATTTCTTTTATCTCATTTACTGGGATTAACAAACCACTTGATAAAGAAGGCCTCCTAAAACATCTAACCAAGCCTTCAGAATTGGGATAACACATTGAACATGGAAACAGTAATTCTGTTCTTCAAACCTCCAACTATTAAAAGGAAAACAAATGCCTACATGCAGCACAATTGACACTTGAACCCCCTTAGAACACCAGCTAAAAGAAAAAGATAATTAAATACTTCTTACCCCCAACAAGCTAAAATCCCACTTTTTATAGCATTGCAGGCTGTTTGAACTAAAAAATGGGGGGAAGAGGAGGAATGACTTCCTTTAATAACCAGGTGAACTGATTTATGATTAAAGGTTAACTTTTTCCAGCTGCTTGAAGTTTGCAGATAGAAGAGTTTATCCTTAAGGAAACCTTCTTATAGATAGCCAGGATGTACATAGTGATATATAGAGACTATATATTATGTTGCTCAAATGAATTTGATCTCTCTTTTCCTTCGAAGAAATCTTTTCCATGTTACACATTCAGAAAATGGCACTAATCAAGACTGCTTCCCAAATGAGATTTCTCACTTAGGTTGTCATAGTTTTTCTGCTAGCTTTTAAAACAGAGAAAACTATGTCAGTGTAGCTGAAGCAGTTTATTGTAAGGAGTAGAGCAGAAAGCCATGGCTGCTTGGTTTTAAAAAAGAATGGGGAGGAGTAGCAGCAGTGAATATTTAGATCTGCTCCAATTCTTTCTCCCTT